GAAACAGGACAGCTTTACTCCTGTCCAGTGAATAGTCTCTGTTGTTTCATCTCTAGCAGGAAATGCAGTCTTAGGAGGAGAGAAATGTGAGCTCTATCGGGGGCTGACTATATAGAGAGAATTCTGGCCCCTGCTCCCTGATTTGTCTGTTCTGATGAAAATTGAAGACTCTAGCCCTACCAGTGGTTGGCAAATTGCGGCTCGCGAGCCACATGCAGCTCTTTGGCCCCTTGAGTGTGGCTCTTCCACAAAATACCGACTTCTGCGCATGGGCCATGAAGTTTTAATAGCCATGCACATGCGTGCCCGCACGTGGTATTTTGTGAAAGAGCCACACTCAAGGGGCCAAAGAGCTGCATGTGGCTCTTGAGCCGCAGTTTGCCAACCACTGCCCTAGCCAGTTTTACTCAATGGATAGAGTGTTGACCTGCAGAATAAGGGTCCCAGGTTCAGTTCTGGTCAAGGGCACATGCTTGGGTTGCAGGCTGGAGTAGGGGGCATGCAGCAGGCAGAAGATCAATGATTTTCTCTCGTCATTGATGTTTCTCTGTGTCCCTCTCCCTTCCTCTCTGAAATCAATAAAAATTTATTAAAAAAAAGAAAATAGAAAACTCTAAACGTCACAGTTTGGTCCAAAATGCACTGTTCTGATGGGTTGAAATAGAACCACTATGGTTATTAAAGATGCTAATGAGGATATAGCTGCACAGTTCTGATTGGATGGGGAAAGTCTCAGTCCTATTTGTTGAACTATGATTTCAGGAACTCCTTTAATTAATTAATTAATTAATTAATTAAATTTTTTTTCATCCTCACTGAAGGATATTTTTTCCTATGATTTTTAGAGAGAGTGTAAGAGAGGGGGAGAGACACACAGAGAGAAAAATTGATGTGAGAGAGGAACAATTGGTTGCCTCCTGCACGTGCCCCAACTGGGGCTGGGGTTTGAACCTGTGACACTCCATTGCGCAGGCTGACACTGTAACCACTTGGCAACACTGGCCAGGGTTGCCTCTGTTGTTTTGTAAAATGAGAATGATAGTGTAACCAAACAAACAATGGGTCCATGCTGCCTGTCACTACTCAATCCAGTTAAGCAGAGCAGGGTTGAATCATATGAGTGTTTATTCTGATATTGCCAGCAGTATGGGAGAGCAGCAGGTCATCCAGAAAAATCTGTTCTGCAGCCCCCTCCCACCCCCATGAACTGACTGCTTATATAGGTAGAAGTTTAAAGGAAATTAGGCAAAAGGGAAAATGGGCAGTATTCAGACATGCGAAAAAGGGCTGGGGATTTTCAAAGGGCTTGGTGATATGCAAGGGCTGGGGTTACATGGGGAAATAAGGAGAGGGTAGGCCAGATGGGTACTTAGCAGGTATGCAGAAGGGCTGGGGACCTTTGAAGGGCTTAGTGATATGCAGAGTTTGGGTTCTTCAAAGGGCTAGAGATTCTGGTTTCTGCAACAAAGTTGTTCATCTTCCCATGACAATCAGCAGCTCCAAATGGGGAGGGTGGGCTGCACTTCCAGGTGAGCTGCCAGGTCCTGAGTGCAGCTGCCAGACAGGTTAGAATGTGCCTTCTTTAATTTGAATAAAACAATCACAGTTAACAGAGCATGATTAATATTTCTTATAATACTAGCTGGTTACCCAACATTCTATTTCTGTCCCCTTTCAATAGTAGTACCTGTCATCATAGGGTTTGTAACGCTTAATTCTATGTCAACTTGACTGGGCCACAGTGCCCAGATATTGGGTCACACATTATTCTGGATGTTTCTATGAGGGGTTTTTAGATGAAATGAACAGGAATTAGTAACACTGGAATTATTAACATTGGAATTAGTAGAGCAGATTGCCCTCCACAGTGTGGTCAGCCCCGTGTAATCAAGGGAAGGCCTGAATAGAACAAAAGAGTGATGTCCCCTGAGCTAGAGAGAACTCTACCAGCAAACAGCTGCATCAGCTCTTCCCTGGGTCTCCAGTCTGCCAGCCCACCCTGCAGATTTTGGACCTGCCAGCCTTCATAATTGTGTGAGCCAATTCCTTAGACCAAATCTCTCTCTATATATACACACATCCTATTGGTTCTGTTTCTCTGGAGAACCCTGTCTAATACTGACTTGTCATGAGGGTTAAATAATTTATACATGCAATACTTAAAGATTCGGACAGGGGTGGGTGGCTGCACTAGCAGAGTATAACATCAGTGTTTGCACCAGTCTGGGTTCAGCTTCATGGATGCCTATGTTCTCTTGCTCTTTGAACATACCCGGGGCTACTGAAATACCCCCATTCCCTCAGCAATAATTGAGGGCCATTTGGGGCCCCCAAAGGTCAGCCACTGTTTCTGTCACCTGAAAGGGACTGGGACAGGGCTGAAATGGGTCTGTTTGGCATGGCTTGGAATGCATGGGTTCTTGACTTTGTGCAGGAAAGAATTGAAGACATGGGTGTAGGTGATTTTGAGATTATGTTTATTAAAGCGTGGGATAGTGAAACAAAGGAAGGGCTTAGGATAGGAGAAGCAAGATCACAGTACCAGAAGTGAGTCTAGGCCAGTGGTTCTCAACCTTCTGGCCCTTTAAATACAGTTCCTTATGTTGTGACCCAACCATAAAATTATTTTCGTTGCTACTTCATAACTGTAATGTTACTACTGTTATGAATCCTAATGTAAATATCTGATATGCAGGATGGTCTTAGGCGACCCCTGTGAAAGGCCTGTTCTACCGCCAAAGGGGTCAGGACCCACAGGTTGAGAACCGCTTGTCTAGGCAGACCATAGTAGCAGAAAGGAAGTCATAGTAACAGAATTAAGCCTAGGTGGGTCTGCTTTGTGTTCACTGAAAAGTTATTAAGAGGAGGGTTCCCACAGCTTAGGAGAAAGAAAGTAAACTTATGTGCATGAGGAAAGGGGTGGGGCACATGCATGCACTGGGCCCTGTGGGAAGCTATTTCTGTCTTTTGCAGGGAATTTTAAGGGAGGCCTCACTCAGAATATTCATCAGCTTTCCAGGTGTGTCCTTCAATATGCTGATGCATCAATCTCTGCTCAAATTCACCTCTATCTTGGATTTGTTAGGCTCTAGTTGTTTTTTTTTCTTTCTCTTGATTCCCCTGAATTTATTCATTTGGGTTTGGCAGGCACTAATGGCACTAACTGGGTCTCTGTTATCTATCTCTCTGACTGGGGTTATTTAAGCTCCCTGCTCTCTGGCTGGGAAGGAGACATGTAAACCATCAGCTCCTAAGGGTCCTTGGTTAGGGAGGAGAGGGACTTGTGATTTATCAGCTGGATGTTAATTGCTCAGCTGTTCCTGTAACTAGTTTGTCTCATTCCACTAGTTTTTTCTCCTTCCACTTGTCCAGGAATTTTCCTAGCTTCTTACAATACTGCCTGGCATGGCAGGAAGTGGGAGGTTGACACCTGCAATGACGGTCTACATTGCGGCCCCACAATCAACAGAGCCTCAGCTGGGAGTTAAAACTTGGAGGACAGTGCCTGGGACAGGCCCTGAGCTACCAGGCTCCACCTGCAGCTTCCTGTGGAGAGGAGCTAAACTTCCTCTACAAGATTCTGGATTTTTCCTTGAGAATGAAGTAAATTAGAACCAATAAATGGGCACTGTCCCATGCAATGTGACACCAGTGCAGGGTGTGTCCTGAGAATATTCTTCCATGCTTCTCAGGTTCTTACAGGAGACCTTTGGATTTTTGATGAAGAAAGAAGCTCTAAGACATATTGGCATGTTCCTTTATTTCTTTTAAGATAGCTGAGGACATCAAATTAAGAATCAAATCATATACCTGCCACCTTCAGCAGAAAACTGGGGCCAGAGCATTACATTTAAATCAAGTTCATTGTGTAAGCTTTCTTGTTCTTGGAGGTGCAGAGCCAGAGTCTTAGGTGCAGAGTCCTGATGATATCTTGCCTTCTGCACAAGCTTACCTGCCTGGGATCAGAAAGCAGCCACATTACATGGATCTTAGTAAAAGAGTACCCTTCTCAAGTACAGGTGTCTTGCTAGACTCCACTTCCATTAGAGGACAGCTCCAAGAGCTGGGATCCAAAGTTCAGTAGTATTCTCATTCAGAAGAAGGTCCTGACAGAGTCAGCCAAATGTATTAAACATGTTAGCAATGTGACCTGAGCAAAAAAGTAATGCGTCCAGGAGGTGGCACCTCTGCACATTATTATGAAACAACTGGGACTTCTAGAAGGGCACAGGCAGTGGTACCTAAGTCGGGTTAAGGGGATGGAATCACTTTCTACAGCAAGAGTTATCTAAGCTAAGACCGGGATCCATTCCTCGTGTGGCCTCAATCTTCACCTCTTGTGGTTCTAGGAATCCAGTAGACTTCAGAAACAACAAAAAGCACAATTTGGGCTAATAGAAAAACCCAGCTCAATATGGACAAGTGAAAAACAAATCTGTTTTTGCCCCTACTCCTAGTCATTCCAAACCTTCAAGGTGTCCATTTCCACTGTCTGTCTTCAGCCAGAAGTGACCGTTTTGCATCTGGATGGAACAGGGAGGGCTGTGGTGGCCACTGGACAAGGCTCTTGGGTAAGGCTTCTACAAGGTTGGAAGACATCCTGCCAGCTCCAGAGGCACATTCCTCCAGAGGCTGTCATTCTACCCGGACAGCTGGCCTGTGAGAGCCAAGGGAGGCAGCCTGGAAGCCCGTGTGGCAGCACTGAGCATGGACACATAATGTCCAGCAAAGGCATCATCAGAGCACCATAACGTTAGGGCTAGAAGGCAACTCAGATGGCAATGTGTTTGCATATTTATTTATTTATTTATCCTCACTGAGGACATGAGAGGGGTAGAAGGAGAGAGAGAGAGAGAGAGAGAGAGAGAGAGAGAGAGAGAGAGAGAGAAAGAGAGAGAGAGAAACATTGATGTGAGACAGAAACATCAGCAACATTATAGGATGCCTTCCATACATGCCATGACCGGGAATTGACCCACAACCCAGGTATGGGCCCTGACCAGGATTCGAACCAACAACTCTTCAGTGCACAAGACGATACTCAACCAACTGTGCCACTCTGGCTGGGCAATGGCAATTTGTTTAGACTTGAAGAAACCTAGACTCAAAGCCTGGACAGTCAGAGCCAGGACTCAGAAGCAGGTGTTCAGACTTCAGCTGCCGAGCTTGTCATTAGCTCCTCCACTGCATCACTTCTCCCCGAGATCCACAATTAGGTGAGGATGGGTCTCCTTCAGGGCTTGGTAGAGTTGATCTTTGCAGGCCCAGGCCCAGGACTTGCTGAAGCTGAACAGCTTCCTCATCTTGTCTGGATTGGTGGGCTCAGCCCGCACCCTCTCATACTGCTCCTCGCTCAGCACCTGTCCATGCAGCTTGTCTAGGACTGCATCCACCGATGTCACTCGAGCCACCAGCTGTGCCCGATGTTGATCCACAAAGTGCAGCAAGTTTGGGGCATCTGGAGGTGAAGGTGAGGCTGACAACGAATAAAGAAGGGCTTTCAACACAGCTTCTACATCTGATGCCCACCTGTAGTTCTTCACTCACCTGATCTGCATCCTTGTCTCCTCCCCCACCCATTAAAACATTGGACCACCAGAGAGGTACCTCTGCTACACTCAAATACCTGATGGAGGCATATTAGGTTGCCCATGGAAGGTGCCAGGGCCTCCATGGGCACAAATAAGGGTGATGGGAAAGGACTCTGCCCTGGCATACACACCACTCTCCAAGGACCAATCCCTTGTGAGGTGTGAAGAGTTCCCTTTCTCCCCTCCCTCCCTCCAGGACCAGGTAGCATACTCCAGTACTGCCATGGCTCCTGTGGCCTCTAACACTGTTACCTGTTGGAGCTTGAGAGACCAGGGTAGCTGCAGGTCTGAGGTCTCCTGGAGGAAAAAAGATGTGAATAAGCATCAGTATCAATGGTAGTTATTAACACAAATGATAAGCCTTAAAAATCCTACCCATGTCTCACTTCTGAGATTCTTTGACTAATTCTGATAGAAGTTGGAGTAAGCATTGCAAGGGACGTTAGAGATTACGTAGGGGAATTCCTTCCTTATGCATATGGGGAAACTGAGGCCCGGAAGCCATGCTCATAGACAGACAGAAAGAGAGAGAGGGAAATTTCTTTTTTTTTTTTAAAAAAAAATTTTTTTTTTATTCTTTTTTAAAAAAAATATAATAAGTATTACAAAGGGTATTACATATGTGTCCTTCCCCCACCCCCCGCCCTTGACAATCCCTCCCCTCCCTTACCCCCCAGTGTCTTATGTCCATTAGTTATGCTTATATGTATGCATACAAGTTCTTCGGTTGATCTCTTACTCCCATCCCTTCTGCCCCCCAACCCTCTCTGGCCTTCCCACTGCAG